GATCCCGTCAATATCACCGGCTTCCCCAGATTATGGAACATGAAACTCAACGCCGACGACGTGTACGCCAGAGAGTCTGTGCCATGCAAGATAACGAAACCATCGAAGAGTTGGTAGTTTCGCTGCACCGTCCGGGCAATTTGATCCCAACCAGTGGAGTCAATAGAGCTACTATCGAGCAACTTTTCAAATTCGAGCACGCAGTATCGCACGCGGCGATCATAGGTGCTGACTGGAGTTCTAAGACTTTGAACGGCTTTGCGTGTGCCCTTATCGTCGGTAACAATCTCCAAAGGCTCGGGGTACGATCCATCATTGAAGACTGGTCTGGGTGCAAGTCCAGCTTTGAGGAAACCCCGCGCAGGTACCAGTCCGTCTGGAGATTTGCGCATGCATATCGTGCCGCCTAGTGAGGTTAGTACAGACGAACACATAATGTCCACTCCATGAATATATACCCGTTATGACGATCAAGACCCGTGACTCTGGCAGTTGCAGCTCGGGATACTGGTCGTCCATCTCGTCCACGCGCTAGAGGATCGAAGTTGTCGTAGGGCTTATCTTTGTCAGGCGGAGACTTGTGGATGCGAGCAAGCTATTCGGTGCGAAACAAGCAATGCTGTGAGTGGTAGCTGGGTTCTGTCGATCGAGATCCGTCTGACAAGGTAGTGCCTTTGAAGGTTCGTCACGATCCGGTACCGCACAAAGCAAAAAAGATAAGAGCCACCTTGGGACACAATCTTGGCAAGATAGCGAGTAGCGTAGCGCAATTCACTCGCAGCGATACCTACTGACCATCGGAGAAATGTTGCAAATCGTCGTGATCAAGTTGCCCTTTCCCATCGGGCCGAAGTAGCAGGTTCGACCATGCGACCCACCTTTAGGTATTCTGATTACCCCTACAAAACCGTCCGTATTACCCCTTCGAAACTCGATTCTATTACCCCTACGAAACTGAAAATTTGCATCGCAAAGCCAGGTCTGATCATGCTCGCGTTAAGAAGGCCCGCAGCTGCATGGGAACCATCGGCTTAAGAGATCCACGCGTTACGTCACGAAAACCGCAAAATTTAGATGCGTACAGTACCACGTGTGAACGCGATTGGAAACAGTATCTACAGTACCACTACCGCATAAGTCTCTGTCATGTCTGCGCCTTGCACTACTTTGACTTTCATCAGCCTGGCCCAGACCTCACGATGCGCCCTTCGCGGCTTCCTTGGCAGCATTCGCACGCGCCTTCTCTAAAGCCTTGACTTGTTCCCAGTTGTTTTTCACCCACTTGAGCACAGCGTCTTTGTTATCCGCCGATACAAATTTGGACCAGATTGTAGGCTCACCAAGGTTGGGCTCAGACGAAATGCGCGGCTCGTTATCCCGGAACACGACCCAACGCCTCAAGCCCTTCAGAACGAGAGCGAGAGAGTTGCTCTGTATTGGGACTGTGACTTTGATCTCCTTCCAGAGCTCTTCTTCCGCCGTCTTGAGGTGATGATCCCTCATCATAGTGTCGTACTCATCCTGCTTCTTGAAAACTGCAAGAGCCTCTTCCAGTACTTGCTGCTTAGTCCACGTGTTTGCATCACCTCTGTCGGGATGCGCTGGCATGTAGTCCTCTACAAAACGCTGGTACATGGGCCGCTTTGCTTGCCGGGCTCGATCGTTGTGCTTCTCGACACGCCCTTGGAAGATTTTGTGCGAAAAGAACCTCCCGCTGGAAGCCCAGTCAAAGAGATCGTCTTCATCCTTGAACCCTGACCAGTATTTTGCGACATCCATGCCGTAGAAAGCGATCGCGAGATTTGGATCTCTTGTGAGAAATAGCAGTGCTTTCTTCTTGTTGTATGGCTCAATCTCTTCGACTCGTACATGCAGGCCCTGGTCATTGCAGGTGAGACCCAGCGGACGATGAGAGACGCCAATGATTTGCACGAGGTCAGCGTCGCCTTTCATGAAGCGCGTCCATTCGAAGAGCTCAGCGCTTTCCGGGGTTTCATCTCCAACTGAAAGTTCGACGTCGACTTGCACGTGTGCATCTGGTATTTCGGGATGTCGCACCGCGTAGGAAGAGGACCCGCCGCGTGGGAGATGGATATCGGCGTCGAGAGTCTTCTGTATTGCTGCCCATATCCCCTCTTTGGTGTTGGGTGGCCGAATGCCTTCTACCAAGAAGTCGATGTCCCCATGGTCTGTCTTGGCTGGAGCGTCACGCGGGACGACAACGCGTACGAATAGTGTTTCCAGAAGGCCTTGATACTGCGCGGAGAGCGTCTTGTACAGTGCTGGTCGCAGGCGAGGGACCTTGATGGGTCTGCCGGAGTCTGTTGGAACATTCGCGAACGCGAGACCTCCCATGGCTACCTAGGTACCTAAGTAGCGAGTATTGCGCAGATCGTTGTCGGGCCTGGTAGAAGCGGATTGCGTGTTGTTCTCGTTGGACCCTGATTGCTATGACTACAATCGTCGAACAGAGGCAGTAGCGAGCTTATATGGCACTGTGGGGTGTCGGGTGTTGCCTATCGTGAATGTACCAGAGCGCACTGCCACGAGCGAAGCTGTGGCGGAGTGAATGAAAGCAAGTCATCTCTGTGACTCCCAGCCCCCCTAAGGGCCTTCTGCTGACGTGCCTGCCGCGTTGAAATAATCACGATGTAGATTGATTTTCCGCGCCATAGAACTTCGCGTCGGTCTATCGTGTCGACGAAGCAGGACATATAGATGCGTTCTGCTGCCAAAAGGGTGCAGAAGCCGGGATGAGCGTGTGCACGGGTGCGTGGGGCCGAGCACCTCCGCCTTTTTAAGTGGGCCCCGTCGCGCAAACATCCCTGCAGCAGTTCGGAAATTTTATAAACAATGCTCACACGGCTGAAGTCTTTCGTCATTCCACCAAGATTTAATGTCTGAAGTGTCTGATTGTTGCTCACCCGGCGGCAGCTGCTCGAAACCCATGGATCACCAAATGAATGAAGTAGACGTCGCTCGCTTCGAGGAGCTTGCGGCTCTTGAGCACGAATTCGAAGACGTGGAAGAGGAAATCAGTAAGTTGCGATTCCATTTCTATCACGTCGCGTCTCGAGAAAGGAAGTCGCATTGCTAACCCCATCGCAGTCCGCCAAGCCGAAGCTCTGCAGGGCCCTCTCTACAAGAAGCGCGCCGACTTCGTAACAAAGATCCCGCACTTCTGGTCGCTCGTCTTCGAGCAGGCGCCGCCCGAGATCGACAACTTCATCCAGCCCACCGACTCCAAGGTTTTCGCCGAGTGTCTCGATACTTTTGAGGTGTCGCGGATCGAGCTCAATGACCCCAATGGCTCCCCGCGCAGCTTCTCGCTCAAGTTCGGCTTCACCGACAACGAATACTTCGAAGACAAGGTGCTCGAGAAGAAGTTCTGGTTCAGGAAGACCAAGGACTGGCAAGGTCTAGTTTCTGAGCCTGTCAAAATCAACTGGAAGAAGGACAAGGACCTTACCGGTGGTCTCACGGATGCGGCATACAAGCTGGGCGAGATGAGGAAGAAGTTGGCAACCGACACTGCCAACGGCGTTGCGAGGAAAGAGGAGGCCAAGACTAAGGAATATAAGAACCTGGCCAAGAAGATCGAAACAGCTACAGACGCCTCTGTTAGCTTCTTCGGTCTCTTCTCTTTCGTCTCCGGCTATCGCTGGGTCAGCGCACAGGAGTCAGCACAGGCTGCCAAGGAGGAGAAGGAGAGGTTCGAGAAGATCAGGCGAGGGGAGAAGGTCGATGACGAGGATGAGGCTGAGGACGAAGAAGACCCGCAAGACTACCAGGAGATCGAGGTCTTCCCAGGCGGCGATGAGGTTGCTACCATCCTCGCCGAAGACATGTGGCCTAACGCTATTAAGTACTACAGTACGTGGCATGCGCTCAACTACTCTTCATCCCGTCGCTAACGGATCACAGAGAGCACATTCGACGAAGACGAAGACGACGAGGAGCTATCCGACTTGGATGTCATGGATGCTAGTGACGATGATGACGACGACGACGAACAAGAACCAGTCGACATTCGCGCATTGGTGGGCAAGGGTCGCAAGTCAGAGCAAGAGCCGCCCTCGAAGAAGCAGCGCAAGGCTTAAATGAAACGAGTCACCATAAGCTCCTTGTGGACTTCTTCCCACCTTCGTCATATAATACGGCGAAGACCATATACCCGGAGAACCTAGTGACGTTCTGCTAGGACTCTTTTACGTAGCGATGAACTGAATAAACCTCCTCGGTCAAGCCCGACAATTGCATAGTAAAGGTGCGCCGGGGCAAAACGACACAATCCCCTTCTGTGGCATCCAGAATCTTTGTGTCCTCCACCCGCAGCACCGCTTCATTGTCAAATTGCGTCCTTTCGTCCCGTGTTTCCTTCTACCGATCTCACCAAGCTCCGGTCGGCGGACCGTTCATGCCTTCTGTTCTGCCGCTCACCTTACTATCTGGGTACACAGCTTCGTACGACGTCTCTTGGAAGCTCAACAATCAGTCAAGATGGTTGTTGATTCCCCGCAATAGCTCCGTGCATGGCTTCGAGAAGCTTTGCCTCCACCAATCAATCGGCAGCAGCCTCGATCTATTCCTCTTTCGGCACGGAAATTCACTCCGCCAGTTCCGCTGGCCTGCCCGTTGATGACGTTTGCGGTCTTGGTGCAAATCCTCACGCTCGAGCATTCGGTACCGCAACGAAGCTTGGAGCTTACATTAGCTCCTTGGAATCGACCAACGATTGCCTTTGTAGCCTTTTGTAATCCACTATATCGGGTGCACAAAGATGATTTTGAGCACTTTCTTGAGGGGTACCATGCACGCCGAGCTCAAAATTTCCGGGTAGGCTCCATCGATCAAAGGTTTCCGTCAGCGGGGAGCACAATGAAACCACCCGGTATGATGCGGATAGATCTAGTAGAGGTACATAGGTACTTATTTAAATGGTCTCTGGATCCGTTCATAGTGGTGCAACATCTCGTGCTATTCCACCTTGACTCTTCAAGATGGATCAATTACTGTCGGTCTTGAGCCTTCTTGTCTTCGCCGCTCCTGCCACTGCCCAGAGCAACGGGACAGCTACTATCTCTTATGTCTTGCCTTCAGGCTACAGTACCTCAAGCTTCAACGCCTCCGCACAGCCCACAGCCTATACCCGCACTGATTTCGGACCCAATGCACTCGCCTCGCTCTGGGACATGGTGGGGCCTATCGCTACAGGACCCATCACGACTACCGTTGAACCAACAGCAGAGCCAACCGCATATCCGCAGCCAGATCCTCAATACTATCACGCTCTTGTAGGAAGCGGATATCCTGAAGTACAGGGCTTGAAGCTCCCCGAGAACTTCCAATGGGGCTTTAGTTCTTCCGCGTATCAGATCGAAGGCGCGGTTAAGGATGAAGGCAGAGGACCCAGTATTTGGGATTTGTTGGCACACCGGGGTAAGTTCTGTCTACACGATGTGCATGTGAGACATCATGATAAGCTGACTTCGTACCTGTATTCTGCAGTTCCTAATTACGTGGCCGACAATACGACTGGCGATATCGTGGATCAGCATTACTATCTGTATAAGCAGGATTTCGCCAGACTAGCAAGTCTAGGAGTCAAAGCCTTCAGCCCTAGCTTTTCATGGCCGCGCTTTTTCCCCTTTGGACATGGTCCGGTTAATGAAGAGGCCATTGCGCACTACGACGACGTGATCAGAACCATGCACGAGAATGGCATTCATCCAGCGGTAACGCTCTTCCACTGGGACACTCCTCTCGCCATATTCAATGAGTACGGTGCCTGGACTGACCGCCGCGTCGTGGATGACTTCTTCAACTACGCAAAGTTCGTCATTACACGGTATGATGCCTACGTTGACGAGTGGTTTACGATCAATGAGCCCCAATACTGCAATTGGCAATACGCCGGGTATCCGGCAGGTGAATACTACCCAGCGCCAAATGGTAAGTCTCTTCATACGAACTGCATGTGAGACATACACTGACTTCGTATACCACGGCTCAGGCGTTACAGGCGGCAATGAAGCCCGCTTCCTTTGTGGCCACCATACACTGCTAGCGCACGCAAAGGTGTCCAAATGGTACCATGAAGAATTCAAAGGACGCGGCCGCATGACCTTCAAGAACAGCGGCAACTACTACGAGGCCAACAGCACAAAGCCAGAAGACGAAGTTGCACGCCAGCGGAACTTTGACTTTAGCATTGGCTGGTTCGGTGGACCATGGACTGACGGTGACTACCCGCAATCGCTCAAAGATACACTTGGCGACCTCTTGCCCGAGTTCACACAAGAGGAAAAGGACATGATCAAAGGATCGTGCGACTTCTACGCCATCGATCCCTACTCCAGCTTCTTAGCTTTTGAGGTCGATGGCGGGCTGGAGTCGTGCACGAGCAACCGGTCACACCCCTCCTTCCCTGACTGTGCTGGTTCAGCAAGTGTAGCCCCTAATGGCTTCCCCATTGGTCCTGCCGCCGACCCGGCCATGTCGTGGTTCTACTCTGCGCCTGCCGGCGTGCGCCGCTACCTCAAGCACATTACTCAAGTCCTCTTCCCATCGATCCCGGACATTGTTGTGAGCGAATTCGGGTTTGCAGAGCCTTTCGAAGGGCAATGGGTAAGTTCTGACTGTACGAAGTGCATGTGAGACATATACTGACTTCGTACCTCTACCTCTCTAGTCTTCCCTTAATTCGGCGCTTTGGGTAAGATCTCCCATGTACGAACTGCGTGTGAGACATACACTGACTTCGTACACCGTCATTTTAGGACTTGAAGAGAGCGGACTACTTCCAGCAATATCTAGACAACATTTTGCTAGCGATTCATGTGGACGGCGTCAACGTGACTGGAGCATGGGGGTGGTCCATTCTAGACAACTTCGAGTGGGCGCTTGGTACGTCGGTCAGGTTCGGAGTGCAGTACGTGAACTACACGAGTCTTGAGAGGACACCCAAGGCGAGTTTGTTCCAGTTCCTCAACTGGTTCAAGGAGCATGAAGCGGGCGGGAACGCGACGATGAGGGTGTAGAAGAGGTATAGGGTAGCAACAGTGCTACTGTGAAGTTGGAATCAGAATTATGATCATGTAAATCATGTCATATTTGAACAATCTGTGGTTTTTGAAGAACGTGTGATGTTGGTTGATGGATCCGCATGACAGCGCGTACCCTGTTCCACATGACGTGTTGCCCTTGTCTGTAATGGCCGGAAGGCAGCCTGGAGCGAGGCATGACGCGTCGACGGCCACACAGACGCGAAAGCAGCAAAGACGAGCACTTGGGCGTCCTTGTGAGTCGTGCCGGCCATGGTGCGGGCGTTAGCTCCCTTCCTTATCGCGCGATTAGGTCCCTTGTGACAATGCGGATCCACCCGAGCATCTTGGTGCGCATGCCTGCCTGGGACCATTCCACGCAACATGTTGTGACGATGCCGTTTGAACTGACTGAATGACTCAGAGAGTGGACATTTCCACTTTGAATGCTTCCTGTGGTGTAATACTTGCGCCGCTTTGGGCCATCACTCGCACATCGTGGCTGCCACTTGGCACATGAGCTTAACGCATCCGGTTGCACCTAGGTCCCCAGCTACGGACCTCAAACTGCCAACATCCATCAAGACGACCACTAGAAGCTCCCACGGCGTGCACACGACGACTATCGGACTTCCCCTGTTTGGCGCAGCTCGAGCGTTTGTGATAGCATTAAAGGTGCCCGGCCCCAACGACGGCATCGTCATTGCTCGGCTCGTGACATCGCCAGCTGCTCCAAACCTCCGAGCTCACCTCCGCAAGCTTGCCCACCTCTCCACCGTCTATTACGCCGAATCCACGCGCACTCCAGCACAGCGCCTCGCCTCGAAGCTGCCTATGCTCTCTCCCTAATCCCCAAGCCAGCACCCCTCCAGGCACGGCGCTGCCACCAACCCATACCCGCGTCATCTGCGGGTAACCAGACCCAGCGTTCGTCCTGGCAGACGAAATCGCCCCAAACCCTCCCTCCCCAGCCGCCTCCGACCACCCATCCACCCCGACGTCCCCCGCTTCTTCTTCCCCAGTCATCTCTGCCCCCTCCAACCAGCCTGCACCCGCCGCCCGAGCCTCCGACCACGCATCCGCTGCCGCTATCCTGTCATCCGAACAGACTACAGCCGGAAAGCGCAGGCACAGCTTCTCTGCGAGCGACGACGCCGAAGACGAGCCCCTCACCAGCGGCACCCGGGGCAGCTTATCCCGCCACATCTCGAAGCGCAGGCGCAGACAGGAAGGGAAGATGCGCCTTGATAACGACACCTCCAAATCCTCACAATCGCCCTCGCGCAACTTCGCAAACGGATCGTCACAGTCGTCGGGGCACAGATCGCCCCTGGCCAAGGGCGCGAATGGAAGCACACACGGGAGGAACGAGAGCAATGGCTCCTATACGAATGGAGGTCCGGTAGCGAACGGGGGATCAGTGCCTGCAACTTTCTTTGGCCATGACAGGGAAGAAGTGACGCGGATACTGATACAGAGTCTGACCGACTTGGGCTACCACAGTGCTGCGGGCGCACTATGCAAGGAGAGCGGCTTCCAGCTCGAAGGGCCCACAGTTGCGGCATTCCGAACTTCGGTACTGAACGGTGATTGGGAGGAAGCCGAAGAGCTGCTGTTTGGGTCAAATACACACCACACCGGTGGTGGTGTTGGTCTAGACGCTCCCTACGGAAGGCCCTGGGGAAAGTCGACATCTCAGCCCAGCTCGCAGCGTTCTACAGGCTTGACTCTAGCCGAGGGCGCAAACCGCGAGGTGATGCTATTCTGTCTGAAGCAGCAAAAGTACCTCGAGTTGCTTGAACGGAGAGATCTGAGCAAGGCACTTGCGGTACTTCGGCAAGAGTTGACGCCGCTTCATCGCGATGTGGGAAGGTTACACGCGCTTTCGGCGTAAGTATCATCCTGCCATCAGACGTTATCCAGCTAACGCTTCGCAGGCTTATGATGTGCCAATCTGCCGAAGACCTCAGAAATCAAGCTCAATGGGACGGCGCTCGCGGTGACTCACGGATGCATCTGCTTTCTGATCTTTCCAGTAAGCACCAAGTCCCAGACTATGGCGATTCATACTGACATCCTGTAGAATCAATTTCGCCGAGCATTATGATCCCGGAACACAGGTTAGCAGTACTGCTAGATGAAGTAAAAGATAGCTGGATCGCAAATTGCCTATACCACAACACCGCCGCGTCACCGTCTCTCTATCTCGACCACAACTGCGAAAGGGATGACTTCCCAACAAAGGCTGTTCTTGATTTGAAACACCACACGGGTGAGGTTTGGTACTTGCAGTACTCAAACGACGGCACAAAACTTGCATCTGCAGGCGAGGACCAGACAATCATTATCTACGAAACCCACACATACAAGGTGTTACATCGACTCGCAGAACACAGGAAATCTGGCGTCGCCCATCTTGCTTGGAGCCCTGATGACACAAAGATAATAACATGTTGCTCGCAACCAGAAAACTCGGCACGGATATGGGATGTCAAGGTAAGGCAGCAAGATTGCTCTGATAGCTCCGACTAAAACTAGCAGACTGGGGTATGCATACAATGTATCAACGACTTCACCTACCCATGTACCACGGCGGCTTGGGATCCGTCCGGTACACGGATTATTCTTGGATCACAGGACGACAACATGGGCTGTAGTGTTTGGGACCTCGACGGGAACCTCAAGCACAACTTCGCCGATGATGGGAAACTCCGTGTAAACGGCCTCGCATTGTCATCCGATGGCCAGCGATTAGTTGTCATTACAGAGAGCGCGATTGTCGTGTTCGATTATGCCACTTATGAGAGGATTGCCGAGTTTCAGCTTGATGGTACAAAGTTGACGAGTGTTACGATCAGCCAGGATTCACGGCATATGCTCGTTAGCATAAGCCCGGATCAGATCAAGCTCATGGAAATCGACACTGGGGATGTAATACAACGCTTCGAGGCACATGCTCAAAAGCAGTTCATGATTCGATCAGCGTTTGGCGGCGCCGATGAGAACTTTGTAGTCAGCGGCAGCGAGGGTATGTTTGTCTTGTCTTTTCATGCAGGATCATTTGCTAACACACGCTTTCAGATTCACGAATATACATATGGCGCTCCAATGGCCTCCTTATCGAAGCTCTCGACGCACACTCCAACGGCTGCGCCAATAGCGTAGCCTGGCACCCCAAGGATCCTACTACATTCGCTTCTGCTGGCGATGACAAACGAATCAGGATCTGGAAACCAGCTTCCGCGTCACCAATGCCATCGAGTAGCAGTAACGGTTATGCAAGGTAGAATGGGCCGCTCACCTGGTGTAATTTGCATGTAAGGGTTCACGTGTGGTTTGCGTGTGATGTCCTGTACGATGGCTTGTTTTGTGTTCTGTTGCATCAACTTTGGCGTCAGAGGCCCATCTGAGGACTCACAGCATGGCTTATTCTTGGGTATGTGGGCTCTAGTTAGCATTCATCGGGCAACCTGTGCTCCCCCTTCGGTATGATGTACGTTATTCATTAGACGCTATCTCTATGGGATTGATTATCTGTTCTTGACTGAACGAATTGCTATAGATGCAAATGTACCTGCAGTTACCCAACTTCTCACCTCCTCCGTTACGTCCCGATCTCCCTTGACACAACTACGGCCTCCCTTTCTTTACGATATTCCGCCCACTTCATCCCTATCTGCGCGGCATCCACCGTGTCATCCGATTTACGCTCCCATATCCAAGACACCCCGTTCCCACCATGTCTTCTCGCAACCCTCTTTTCACCCACCCATAACTCCTCCAGTGCTTCCACCTCACCGAACGCTAACCTCGCAACATCATTTTCGGCTGCGACTCTCCTCCTCTCGTTCCCTTTCCACAACGCCTGTCTTGCTTGTTCCGTCTTGCATTCCATAACCGCTCGTTTCCACACCGCTCGATACCCCATATCAAGATATTCGATCTTGCTGACTTGCAGTGTCTTGAGCTGTTTCAAGCCCTGACCCAGAGCACGCATGATTAGCGCGACATCGGATCGATAGCAGTACGACTCGCTACGCAAGACAAGATGACGAATATTCGGAAACGTTGTCGTGAGAAAGGTAATTTCGGCCAGAGACCATGCCGCACTTCCATCGAAACTCCGTAGTCCCACTGCATACTGGAAACATGGATCGTCGGCCTCCCTTCTCAGGCTAGACCGCGGAATCATCTCGAATAAATCCTTCAGCTCGGTATACTTCTCCATTGCACAATCCTCACCATCGCCCTTCCCCTTCACCACCAACGTCTGCAGATTGAGACAATGCTGCACTAAGAACGCAGCACTGCTATTCACAACCAAAGTCTCCACTCCCCTCAACTCAAACCCAGGGAACCGGGATGAAAGTGAAGAGTCGGTGAACGCAGCGGAGAAGACATCCAGACTTCGGCTCATCATCCTCACTTCCAATCGCGTTAGCCGCGGTAACGAATGCATAAAGGTGAATAGATCAAGAGCGTCGCTACTGGATACGTAGGCGCCGGAGCACCACCACCATAGACTGCCAAACATGTCGATTTTGAGCGCGCGAGCTTGGTGAAAATGTGGTATCAAGACGTCCGTGTCTAGGGCTTTGAGCGGCGCGGTAATGCGTAGGGTTTTGAATAGTCGTGGAACGAGGAGGGCGTGGAGACGGCGATTTGCTAGAGAGAGTTGTTTCCATGGAGTCGCGCCGTGTTGCTGGTGATGGCGGTCCAAGAAGTCGCATATGAGTAGTAAGACGTCATCGCATAGGTCGGGGAGAGTGAGTGGCTTGTGTAGTGATGGGAGGAGTGTTGGGTCAATGAAGCTGTCGACTCGTGTCTCTCTTGTTTTGGGTGTCATCTTGTTGTTCTGGTCTCAAGTTTGAAGAAGGGCGTGGTTTTGATGTCTACTCCATGATGCTTGATACCGTCAACGAGAGCGGAGATGGAAGTGAGCTAAGCAGCTACCCCACGTTTTAATGCACACTTGATACTTGAAGAGGCTAGTTGAGTTGAAGCTCTTAGATTGTCCAATCCAAAAGAGGTAGCCACTATAGGCCGTCAAAGGCTGTAAGTAAGGCTTGAATTGTTCTATACTATTGCATCGAGCTATTTACTTGTTGTCGTTAGTCATTATCATAAAACGTTATTCATCATTGCGTCTTTCGGAGCAAGAGTCCTACTCAAAGCACAAGCATCCGCCACTCCACTTTTCGTACACTTTCAGCTCCTCCTTGGGTATCTGCGATATGTAACAAACAATTTCAAAGGAAGTATTCAACGCTTTGGAGATGCGAATCGATCCGATTCTCAAATGACGCGCACTGCTGCTTTACCTTTCCCGAGGGTTTGGGATGATGATATCAGCATGCTTCTGAGACGGTCTTCGGCTTTTGTCAGCTCCTGCCGGCTGTTCTGGTCGAGATCTGACGGCCGGGGCCATGGTAGCCACGCCTTTATAGAGTCAAGGGTACCAGAACGTGCTCGTGATGCCGGGAGACTGCGCATAGACGCTCCGCGTTGGTGTGAAGGGGTTCTGCGTGGTGTTGCAGTCTGAGGCCGTCCGTTGGATGATCCATTGGCGTCCTTGCCAACGTCCTGCATTGCCGACGATGTATCGAGCGATAGCTGTTTCGAAGCTGTAGGCGCGGCAATGGTGATTGCTGGATGTGAAGACGAGGTGGACGCATGGACTGCCCAAGCGGGCCCTGAGTTCTGGGCTTCGATCTGTTTCGAGCTGCCAGCCTCTTGGTCTCGGAAAGTATCGCCATCTATGGCTTTCCTCTTACCACTCCCACCACTGATGACGCTCTTCAAGCTTCCGTATGCTGATTGACTACGCTTCTTACTGCTCTCGGCCCTACCCTCTTGCGCCAGGCGCTCGCTGGAGCTGCTCGCTTCAGGCACTGCCATGAGTGTGTTGTCTGCGGCAGTCCATCCTTGACTGATCCTATTCAAACGACCTCGGCTGGCCAATGCTCCTGTACTTGCAGCCCACCCCGACCCCCCGCTTGTTATTTCGCCTTGTGGGGGTAGGTGAGAGTCGTACTCGTCGGCAAGACTCATTCTGCTTCGGGCGCAGATCTCGGCAATGGCATCGATGGCGTCTCTGATCTCAGGGTCCACCGCGCGAAGGATGGCCGAAAAAGAGAAGTCGTCAGCGGAGGGTAGCTGCTCGCTCCTGCCTGCCAGACCGGCTGACAGGGCCGACGCATGTGTCTGCCCATTCATGGCGAAGGAGCGTGGCGTGTTGAAGCCGGAGCCAGAGCGTGATGCGTGCCGCGAGCCTGAGTATGTGCGTACCACCACGGGCTGGCTGGTGACGGTGGTCCGGCTGGATGTAGACTTTGCAGACTTGCTCTTGGAGGGCGAGGAATGGAAGGCGGGGGCGTTCAGGGCGCGCAGTGCAGCAGACTGGGTCGGCGGCAGTGTGTTGGTCAAGGTGGTAGTCGCACTGGGCACCGAGCCTGAGCTCGCCGTCAAGTCAGACAGGCCCTCGGGAGCATCTAGTGGTTGCGTGTGGGCGAGGACGGGCTCGTCGGACAGTATAGGCTGGGCACTAAGGGTGGACGTGGTGTTGTTCCCCAAGAGGGTCGAGAAGACGCCCAATGGTACCGACTGTCTGGTGGTCGTTGCAGGCGTTGCAGGCGTCAGTGGGTGTGGGATTGCACTCGACTCGGCGGTACCTGAGCCATGTTGCTCACAGTCGGTCGGAGGGGCAGCGCTGTGCGGGAGCCGTGGCGCCTGGAAGGGAACGCGCGGATCATTAGACATGCCGGCCATTGTTGTGGGTTCTGGTTCCGTAGCTGCAGGTCAATGCATTGCCGCTATGCGACGCCGTCTGAGTTGTTGGGTGAGCTGCCGTGATCGAGGAGATGCGCTGGCGCCAAGCTTGGCGGGTTATTTTGTCCCACCCGCCTTCCATCATTGGGCCATTGCCGCTTCACCCTACGCAAATTCCGACATATTGAACGAGTTGCATGCCACTTGGGATCCGACACCCAATTGCAAACGTGCAAGACTGGGGATTTTCTTGTTGCGCCTAAGAGGCGTCTCACTGGCTTGACACCCCAAGATCTCTCCGACGACAATCTAGATATCCCTGCCGCTCGATATCTGTCTGTCTTGCACGACTACGTGGTAACACATGTGGACCCTGCGCATGGAAGCGCATCTGCCTCGCAGCGGTACTCCAGATCTCAAAAGAGCATCCCGTCGTCTGGCTTTTCGCCTTCTATCCGCTGCGCGCGCACCAGTTCCGTTGTCTGCCTGAGCCTGTCGCTCAACCAAGACACCAATCCACCTGGCATTTCGTCAAGTATCTGTATTTCAGCCTTGACGTTAAGCATCAGCATTGTCTGTAGCTCCTGCCTCCAGCCCTTCTCGGGACCCTCCTCGGCGCACAAGTTCCACTCCAACATTCGCGCTGCTTTGTTGCGGTCGCGCGCCGTCAGTCTCATCAGGCCTTGAAGTTGAGATTTTGTGCTCGTCTCTGTGTGCACTTCGCCTAGCGAAGTCCCGCTCATGTGGTGACTCTTTACACCGAGCCAGCGGATGTTAGGCAAGCCTGGTGTGGCTGTATCCGTGGATGTAACGTCTTCGTGCGCAAGACGATAAGACCCATATTTGTACGTCGATAGTATGGCGATACCGTCAGGATCAAGGTCCATCAGAGCATACATGGGGATCTGAGAAGCCTTAGCAGCTAATTGACTCAGAAATTTCCGTGAAGCGAGGTCTGGATATCCTTTCGCCTGTCTTGGCTATTAGGTGACATTGGCAACAGACACGGTCAGGCTTACAGTCAGTATTGTTCCGCTCGAGCCCAACGTGTGCCACCGTGGTGAACTCATCAATGACCTAAAGGTCGCCTAGGTATGCATTAGCGGTAACATAAGTGACCCCAAAGCATCGACCATACCTCCTTTTCGACAATGAGAACCCATTGCACGTCTGTCAAGTCGAGATTGTCGTTGTCGTTGACACTGGGAACGAGTATCCCCTGCTGATGTGTTAGGAAGGTATCACTGAGCCAGCACGCTCGTCAAACCTCTTTCTCGCTCATGCCATTGATATGATGACCATCGTTTCGAGTCAACCTAAAGCCGCCCGCCAGCAGGCCTTTCGCGGCGGCAGTCTGGTATTGGCTATCAGCTGTGCTTCCAGAGAGACGACCAAGACAAGCGCACCACGTTCAATTGTGATCTAGTGATGCCGAATGTACAAGCCAGGTCATCCACGTATCGGTCGACTATCGACTGCTTGATGAACAAGTCTGGATGTCGATAATACATGTCCCTAC